GCTTATATTGAGTCCACTGAGATGGATTTTAAACATTTGTGTACAATTTTACTTTCTTGGACTCCATGATCACTGCAGATGGTGACAGCAGCCACGAAATTAAAAGGCACCTGCTTCTTGGGAGGAAAGTGATGAGAAACCTAGACAGCATCTTAAAAAGCAGAGACATCACCTTGCCGACAAAGGTCCGCATAGTCAAAGCTATTATTTTTCCAGTAGCGATGTATGGTAGTGAGTTGTGTACAATTTTACTTTCTTGGACTCCATGATCACTGCAGATGGTGACAGCAGCCACGAAATTAAAAGGCACCTGCTTCTTGGGAGGAAAGTGATGAGAAACCTAGACAGCATCTTAAAAAGCAGAGACATCACCTTGCCGACAAAGGTCCGCATAGTCAAAGCTATTATTTTTCCAGTAGCGATGTATGGTAGTGAGAGCTGGACCATAAAGAAGGCTGACCACCGAAGAATTGATGCTTTTGAATTGTTGTGCAGAGGAGACTCTTGAGAGTCCCCTGGACTGCAAGGAGAACAAACCTATCCATTTTGAAGGAAATCAATCCTGAGGGCTCCCTGGAAGGACAAATCCTGAAGCTGAGGCTCCAGTACTTTGGCCATCTCATGAGAAAAGAAGACTCCTTGGAAAAGACCTGATGTTGGGAAAGTGTGAAGGCAAGAGGTGAAGGGGATGACAGAGGACGAGATGGTTGGACAGTATCATCGAAGCTAACAACACAAATTTGACCCAACTCCGGGAGGCAGTGGAAGACAGGAGAGCCTGGCATGCTCTGGCCCCTGGGGTCACAAAGAGTCAGAGACAACTTAACGACTAAACAACAACAACAACAAAGCACATAAGAATACTCAACAGGAACCAGTCACTAAGGCAACAGGGACAGGGGAGTGCTGAGTGACCAACAGTCCTTTGTCTATCAAGACTGGAAAGACAGTGAAATCTATATTGCCTAAATTTAAACTGCCACCTCAGTCTGATTTTACCAAGGAGCACAAAGGAGCCTGATCTCAACATATGGCTTGATTATTTTTCTGTTTCCTTTGCACTTCTGCAGCTCTGTAATGCCCAGCGTGATTTAGAGTCTTGCAGGACTCAAGCATGCCCATTTGCGAGAAGTTTGGTGACTTATGTGTTGCCCGCCTTTGCTTTCAGATTATGAGTCAAGCTTGGGTTGCAGATAGTTTAATTTTTAGTTGTCCATAGAATGTTTGTTCTTTGTAATCCAGAGCAAGAGAGACAGGAAGTTTTCAGAATAACAGGAAACCTCAGACACATTTAGGGGGTCTAACAAACCCACCAACGCTGAGAAATGCAGCCAGGTCCCATCTGGTAGAACCCAGGTGTTGCTATGTTAGATTTTGATGCTTCACCACAAGCTTTGCAAACCGACTGCAAAAAATTCCACTCTTATTCATGACTTGTTATGAAGAAGGCCTCCAGAGGAGGTGAAAGAATAAAGAACCTTGAGAGAGAGAGAGAGAAGAGGTTTTTTTTTTTTTGCAAAGTGAAATTAAAAGCAAACAATAATTTAGAAACCAAAGGTACATCACACAGTTTCAGTAACTTAAGTCAATGAGAATCAATAACCCATTTAAGCCTTTGGTAAGTACGGTTCCTGAGTCTCGCAGTGTTTGGTGAAGTCTTCCCTGGGTCTCCAAGGGAAGGGACAAATGTCAGGAAAAGCAATGCTACAGGACAAGACAGCTGGATTTTTATCCATGAGGTGACTGTAAAGCCTGTGTGGCATCAGGGTTCACTATAGAAGTATGTTTATATGGGTTTCACATGGGCAACATCCACCCACTAAAAAAATGCCAGGAGCAAGCAGGGGTTGGGGAAGAGAACAGCTGCATGCACACCCATCCTCCCCCTGCCATTTAGAGGAAATCAGGGAATGGAGCACCATTGCCACAACTCATGAGCTTTCTTATGGTTCAAACAGCACTAGTGCAAGACTCGGGGGAGGGGAGAGGAGCCTTCTTGCAGGCTGGCAGTGAGCCTGCCATAAGTCTTAGCAGCAGTGGATGGTATGGAAAAACTTCCTGTGTTGCGTGTGCTATAGATAATGTGGGATACATTGCTATACAGGATGCAGGCCATCGCAGGAAAGATAATGGTGGCAACTGCTGCATCTGTTGGCCCTAGTAAGGTTTTACCCTGGGCCTGTTTGTCAGGATTTCTCTCATCCATGACAGAAAAAATGAGGGAGGGGGATCAGTGCTTGTTTATTTCCCTCTTTTTGTTTAAGAGCCATAATTGAGTATTGGAAATCAGCGTTGTATTTGACAGTGAAAAGGTGTGTTGTGTTTCATGTAAACCTGATCAATAGAGAAGCACACTTGACCTTACTTTACAGGTCACGTTCCCAGGTGATTGTGGGAGTTGTAGTTTAAAAAAGAAACTTTGCTATTGCAATATTCCAGTGACAGGGAAGAACTCAGCTTGGTCCTGTAATACGGCACTTCAGCAGCTGGATTGATTCTGCGTGCGCGTATGTTTCCAGTTACTACTTAGAGGTATATTTTTAGAATTTTTTACAGAAAACAGTATCCCCAATCTAATACAAATGATTCAATAAAATACGCGGCCATGATTCATCCCTAATATGTGCAGAATTGTGTATGTAGAATGGACTCTTCATGGGAACAGTATAACCTCTTAACTATCTCCATCCTTCGTGTCCTAGGCTGCGTATGATTGTGTAGGAGAGACCGCAGTCTCAGGATATAAGAAAAAATGTAACACTTTCAATTAAAAAATTCTCAATGTGTTTTTGCCTGAATTGATGATCTTCTTCAGGGCCTGTACAAAGAAAAGAGAGTAAGAAAAAAGGAGACAACATCCTGACATTTTTGCATCTTTAATCTCTACTTACCTTGGGTGGGTAGGACTTTAAATCCAGAAAGCAGTATGGAAGAAAATATTAATTTCCCTTTCCAGTGCCACTGTGGTAGTTAAATCCCCACTGATTTAAATCCACTTGTGTGCTTCTCAGAAAGTTGGCCCAAATTAAGTAAGATATTTAAATACTGTAAATGTGCCCACGTTTAACATGATTTTGCCGCCATCTGCAGTTATGAAGAAGTAGTGCACAAAACCTAAGTTACTATGACATGTCCCTAATTTATGCAAGATGATCCTTGTGCATGTGTCTGGTCTCTAGGTGTCTGTGAATTTCGTTGTATGGGTATACTGTGTATATACTTACAATGACAATAAATTATTATTATTATTTATCTGAAGATTTTATCTGGCATTCCTTCACATGATAGTTCCCCCCACCCCCAACTCATTAAGAATGGAAAATAACTGAGGAATTAGGCTTCTTTCTACTTCTCATTTCTTCATTACTTCACTTCAACACTGGGAACAAAAAGGAGGAAGGCATTCTCTCTCCAATTCTTCCTTAGCCATTCCAGCATTTTAAATATCAGAGAAATTAGAAGAACTACTGATTCCCTGGTTCAGACTGGACATGCTTACCTGTGGTGCCATCCCTGTTAAAGAGTAGCTGAGAAAAACCAGGAGGCTCCTTCCCCACCTTGTACCCACCCACGTACCTCTCTTGGGCTGTGCTGTGGAGGTGGCAATGCCATGTTGCCAAGCTTTGTCATCACTCAGTTCTGAAAGATTCTGTACTGCAATGCTCTACTGAAATATGAGGAAAATGTTGCAACCTACCCAGTGTTCTTCATGCCGGATTAGCATTTAAATCTGAACCAGAGAAGAGTTCATCTCCCCTTTTCCCTCTCATTAGTCTCCTACACTGCCCTTCCCTCCCACACAACTGAGACTACTCAGCACTAAACACGCTTGTAGAAGAATCCAGCCCTCCTCTTCCCTAGTACCAATCAGCTCTCTTGCTAACCTTACTGCAGCTGAAGTTTTAGTCTCAAGGAAGAGGGAGGTAGGCCAGCCATTCTCAATGGCGGCCCTATGCTCCCCTGGGGGGGGGCTGTTGCACCTTTGAAGGGGGCCACAGACTGGAAACAAATCTTTACACATCATCTCATAAGGTCCATTGTGACTTCTGCAAACACAGACTGGAAACAAATCTTTACACATTATCTCATAAGGTCCATTGTGACTTCTGCAATCCTGGTTTGGTGTATATTTCTTTCATATTGTGTTCATGGAAAAAAAAGGTTAGGAATGGCTGCACTAAGATACCAGCTTTCTTTGAGACAATTTGACAATAACCTGGAGTCCTTGGCTTGGGGAAGATTCATACATCAGAAGAAAGGAAGCTTCCTTCTTTCTTTCCCCACTCCTTCACCCCTGCCTCATTTCCTCTGTCAGCCTTCATCCTCCCCCAGTCCCTGACAATTTCAGTGCTACCCTGATAGCTTTGGAAAGCTCAGGGAGAATGAAACGTTGGGTACATAGGAGTTTAGCTCACTCTGCCCAGATGGTTGGGATCACTCTAAAAAACGTTGATTCTTAAAGTACTCCACTCCATCCCTAATAAAGTATTCCACTCTATCCCCAGTCTTCATCAGGGATGGATTGTCTGCATTGAAAGGCCCCCAGATTAACTCTGGCTACAGTCATTACAACGTATAAGAAACATAACCAGCAACAAGGGAGATGAAAACCACTTTTTATGAACCATTGTGATCTGTCTGTATTGACTGACCACATTGTACTCCTCTCTTTGAAGGGCGATCCAGTCTAAGTCCTATTTAAGGACAAAAGAGCACCAGAGGGAAAAGCAGAGGCTATGCTGTTGCCAGTAAACTGAGTAGACAGGCCATTTACCTAGTGCCAGTCTTCCCTGTTATGTAAATGTGCACTTCCCCCCTAAAAACCAAGTGTTTCAAAATCTACATCTACAGTATATATAAGAACAAGCATATGCAGTTTCTTATGAAAACCCATGTTCTCTGTTGGTGATGCTTTTTGTTTTCTGACAATAGGAAAGTGGCCATCTATAAATCAGAGACCGAAATTTTAGAATGAGAAAAACTTTTATTCACTTCCCAGTTCACAGCCTAAATCCCAATATTTTGTCTTCCTTAATTTTTTTATTGGAATGTTGCCCTTTTTTGAATGAAGTCCTTATTCCAAAGCAAAGCAGCTCACAAAATTTACATTAAATATATTAATATATTAAACTCATACTCTTAAAATTAAACAAAATGTAGCCATTTTGAACGGGAGTAGATGTGATGCTTCATGATGTTTTTTTACTTACCTCCTCCCCCTTTTTGTTCTTTCCTTTACACCAGTTATGGGTGGATGGCTAGGGGAGGGGGCAGTTCATCTGGATCCAGAATGGGTCCCTTACTTAACTCCATTCTTGCTGAAAACAGAAAGGCTCTCCCTCACTTCCCTCCTGCCGCTGATTCTTGATGTCCTCTAATGGAAGGGTGAGGGAACCTTGGGCCTCTGAGAGTTTGAATTTCATTTCCCAGAATCCAACGAAAGATAACCAGTTATAAGGGATTGTAGAAGTTATACAAAACATCTGAAGGACCAAGGGCTCCCCAGCCTTACTGTCAGTCTACTAAATCTTCCCAATTTAAACAGTTCTGATTTCTCCTGCCTTGTCTCCCACATTCCAATCCCTAGACACAAAGCTAAACTAAATTCCCAGTCAAGGACCATTGATGGTTAAGCTTGGATAGGCAAGGCTGTAAAGAAGTGATAAATCTCAGCCCTCAAAACAGGTGGCCCACATTTTTAGGTCACATGCTATTTGAAAATTATCTTTAACAACATGACTAGATGGTTCATTAGCAGCCACATACAGGATTGCATTGACTTCGTGTGTAAAGACTGGGAGAGAGGAGCTTTGATTGAACTCCCAGGGAAAGGAATTTCACAATGTAGAACCACCACTGACAATGCCCAGTCCCTCCGTCCCAATTTAATTTTTCCTAGTGGTAGTCAGAAAGCAGAAGTCTCTACTATTTTGTGCAAATTTTTTTGCTTTTGTCTTATGTCTCAACCAGTTTTGTGAAGCAGTATAAATTAACTTTTGCCCTCTTCTCCTTTCCCTCCTGTATTCTCACTCTTCTTCCTTCTGCAAAATGCATGTTGTCACATGTAATAATCAGAGCAGCGATGGTGATTGTTTTAAACTTGCCAATTTGCCTTTATCTGGCTCCCAAGCCCACCTTTAGAGCCATACCTTTTCAAAACAAAGCAAATTACATAAATAATGACTGAAATCTTGTTGCTTTTTTATGCTTGCAGAAATCAAATAGCGTAACATTCACTCCCTTCCATCTGGCAATTGAAGAGTCCCCACAGGGTTTCTTAAATGCACACTAAGCCAGAAGATGACCCCCCTCCAGAATCACAGTAGTGTCTCTTCAACATTCAGCTGTAGCTGTGCAACAGGGTTTCAATAACCTGGAGGATAACACTAGAGGAAACAAGCTAACATTCTTTCAATTTGGAAAAAAAAAGGCCATCTTGTGTCCCTTCTTTGGAAAAAAAGCAGGACTGAAATAAAGTAAATAAATAATATAGACAATGCTACTTAGCATATAACCTTATAAGTCATTTACAGATTAACTGAAAGCCACTTTTAAATATCTAGTTTTAAAGACATATTTAAATGACTGAATATTGAGCAACAGGTGCAATTTGAGGGTTTTCCAGAGCTTGAAATAATATGGTCACTACATTATGAACCATTTAAATTTTTTGAGTATTTCACCATACCCTTTAGTTGATTATCTCTCATTTGAAATATTTACATTTGCTTCTTCCGTTGCAGTGATATGAAGATTGATGGATATTGTTTAATCAAAAGTGGTGCAGGGTACTATCGTATCCAAGAGATATTTAATATGTAACCAAGTTCTTACTGAGCACCACTATAGCACTAATCCCATGGTCAACGTTATCCCATAGGCCAGTGTTAAGAATGGGGAGGAAAGGCTAAGGCAAAATGCAGGAGCATGGACTTATGGAGAGAAGTTTGTGAAATATCTATGCCAATTCGATAATGTGCAAATTAAGGTATGACTTAATCTCCATGTGATTAAAAGTGAATGTCTAGGGCCTTAGTCCATTTTAAATGGAATGTTTCCTTAAACCTTTGAACATACTAATGAATGAACTTCATTTTCAAAAAAATCCGACCTGAACTTTACATATGCCACTTGGTCTTAAATGCAAGACCTATAGCAATTATTGTTTGAGATGATGATTATCATCATCTTAAACTACAGAATTAACACGCACAAATTATAACAAGGGCACTTGAGAAATACTCCTTAGAGAATATGTTAGACCTGAGTTATAAGAGGGAAAACATTTCAAGTGTTTGTATATTTAGTAGGTCTCTTAATTTTGTACAGTACTTTCAAAACTAAAAGAAAAAAAAACCCTACACATAAATAGGACATGGAATGATCTGTAGCCAATACTTTCAGACTACTTTTAAACCTTTCAACAATATAGAGACAGCTATCACTGAATATACTGCATCCTTCCATTTTATAGGCCATTGCAAGACTGTTCCATAGCTTCTCCATGTTGTGTGGGGTGTCATTCCATAAGAAACAGTAAACCATGTACAGTACTGGAACAGGTTCTAGAATTGCAGTTCAAATCCTTCCTGAGCACTTTGTTAAGAGACATCCTGAGCCCTAGACCCATTGTGTTTAAAGGACAAAGAATAAAAAAAACAAACAACAGTAATGAAACATAAAAGTGCACCATGGTTCAGGCCACACACAAACATAGAATTCATTGGAAATAAGCAAAGTTAAAACCCCAAAACAGATTCATTCCACAGCATCTCTTCTTCTGTTGGTCCACTCTCTTCTGTTTTCTTCTTTAGCTTTTTATGCCTTCTGCTATCCTTTTCAGAAGACCATTCTTTATTTCTTTTATCTTTACTGTGCTTTGATTTCCACTCAAGTGCTGAAGTGGCGTCACCTTTCTTTTTCTTTTTACCATTTTTTCCTGAGTCTGTCTCTTCTTCATGACACCGTTTTCTTTTGAGCTTTACAGGTTGTTGGGGCTGGTTCCTCTCTCCTTCTGCTGTACATTCTTTCCCCTTTTTGGATGTCTTTCGACACTTCTGGCTTCTCTGGTAAAAATGTGTGCTATTATCTGAACATACAGGCTTGTAGTCCTCAGCAGATTCTGCTGATAATGGGTCACAATCATTGTATTTGGAGATTGTCAAGTGAGATGCATGTTCCTCTGAAGAACCTGCCATGTTGCACTCAGATATGGCTACATTTTCTAGTTTCCGTGGGCCTCTGTGAATTGGTGACCGATGTGACAACTGGTTTTCAACTGAATGTGATAGTACACACATATCTGAGGGAAAAAAGGAATGCTGATCTGGTTCATAAATATCATGAGAAAACAGATCTTGTTCATAGGGAAAGACCTCCCTATGACCATTTGTGGCTTCAAATTCTTCATATTCAAGCCTTTCCTCTGGCTTTCTGAAATTAGTTTTTGGTTCCAGTCCTCTTGCTTTTTGTACTTTAATGTAATCTGCTAACTCATCTTGGAAGGAATCATATGTTTTCTTGGAGTTCTTCATCAGATTTACAATCATGTTTTCTCTAAAAAAATTAAAAATAAAGCCATTGTATCTTATGATGTTATCTGCTAGGACAAGTGATCTGATAAACTGCACATAAGTTACCTTAATATCACTGTATGGTAGCTCATGGACATTAGCTTTTTATATAGATCCTATTTGTTTATATTAACTCTTAACTACTGGTTTGTAATTTTATAATTCATTTTTCTTTCAGTGAATGTTAGAACCGTCGTTTATGATTCTGAGCTTGCACTGTCTGAAAGCCATGCTGTCCAATTTCAATGGCAACTGGAAAGCCTCATTTAAAACAAGAGAAATGGCTACAATAGTTTGCCATAGAGTTTAAACAACAGATGACTGCAACGACACTTCCTTTAAACTCTCCCCACACCCGTGTTGTTGGTGATGTTCAGTGGAGAGGTGGACAATGGGTTCTGGGGTGGGGGACAGAACTGGTCCCTGGACCAGATGAAATTGCCCATCCCTTCACAGATAGCTCAGTGAATTAGGTATGATCAGGAGCTTGATTTCCCACTATCCCTCCTGTGAGAAGAGCTACCCTGTATAGCTATAGGCAGGCTGCACAGCCCCTGAAGAAGGGACTTATAAACCACTTCTGAGTATTTTAGAAAATCCTGGAAAGGGTCAGAAGTGACTTGATAGCACATGTTTATTTATTAGCCACAGAACATGCACAAATACTTTAACAGCAGACAGAAATCCAGTGAGTGATGGGGTATCTGGTTATTTATTTATTTATTTATTTATTTATTTATTTATTTGATTTGATTTGATTTGATTTGATTTTTACCCCGCCCCTCTAGACAACGTCTACTCGTCGCAGGTTACAATTTCAGATTGCTCTGGTATAATTTGCTGAAAGAGGTAACTTTCACATTGTTTGCTAGAAAAGAACTATTGATTTTGTGAAGACTGCTTAACATATTTTGGCCCAAGTTCTTCCCTGGAAGTAAAAGTTGGTCTTCTAAGATCTGCCAGTACTTTAATTAAAGCAATTTACAGAGACATATGCCTAATCTTTTACTCCTTTCATACTTTTTTGGTGCTCAACTTCCTTGTGGCCCTCCTTCAAATGGGTGACTCTTTCAAATGGCAACAGGGACTTTTCTACTGGGGTGGATAGGGCCTTTCTTCTGGAACTCTCAAGATTTCCAAGGAAGTCTTGTTTGCCTATACTAAAGCCTGTCAGATCAGTGGTTCTTAATCTTTGACGTTCCAGGTATTTTGGACTTTACTTCCTCAATGATCCAGCTAATAGTCATGGATTCTGGTTGAAACCGAAGTCCAAGTATCTGAAGAACCAAAGACTACAAACCATTATTTTAGGGGGCAAATGAAAAAGTCAGTGTTTCTTTTCATTTCTCTTGCAATTATTTTAACTTGGGGCTTTTACTATTGGGAACTGTGTTGCAGATTACTATTTGGCACTATTTTAAATTGAGGTGGGTACTTTTCCACCCAAAACAGTTGCCCTTTTTGAAAGATATCTGCTGTACCACAGGCAAAAGGAGATTTTGAGCAACGGTCAAAGGATCAGTTGTATTAATATTACTCAAGTCACGGGAGATGAGACAGTGGTTCTCCAAGATATGTTGATGAACAGCAACATCTGCCAGCACCACCTGACACAGTTAACAGTGAGGGAGTATGGGTGCTTTAGAATAACATCTGGAGGGCCACAGATCCCACATTCTTCTACTAATCTTTTCGAAAAGAACAGGGTAAGTAAACAAAATTGAATACAAAATATTCTGTAAGGCACACACACAAAGAACAACCTTACAGCCTTAATAGCCTGAATTTAATTTCCTTAAGTCTTCTACTGTTGCAAAAAGTAAGCAACAAGGAGTGAGCAAAGCTAGGCTCAATCTGCCACTGCTGTCTGAAGCCCTCAATTAAGATTTGGAAAGCTTTCAAAGCCCTCCCTGACTATGCTTGGCTCCCTCCATTGTGCTTTTTCTGTTGAAATGATAAAGGCTGCAGAGAGGCTTCTCAGTTTCAAAGATCCCCATCTCCTGTCCCATCTCCCTTCTGAGAGGGCAAGACTTTGGGGATGATGGGAGTCCTGACAGGCAAGATTAGATTCCTGCTTTAAAATAGTTTTTGGAGTTGTAGCCATATTAGTTAGTCTATGCAAGCATTTCAACAAGAAACACAAAACAAGAGCAAACTGAAAGCAGAAACAAAAAAGAACAGAGAATATGTGGCACTTTAAAGATTAACTGCTATATTTTAATGCAAGTTTTCATGGAACATTGCCCACATTACTTTAACGTAAACTCTGTGAAGGCACAAAATCCATACATAGAATTAAATGGGTATCACATTTGTAAGTGTATGTATCAGAACAACAATGCTAGTGAACGTACACACACTGCTCCATTGGGAAATACTTACTTAATCTGATGCTTATTTCCTTGCATGTGAGACTGATACATCTCTATGGAAGTAAGGCTGATACTGCAGATGGGGCACACATAGTTGCCCACTCCGATAGCTGAAAGAACAGACAGGGAGAGGTGAAAGAGAATACAGGGAAAATGAGATCTTCTTAGCCATGATAGCCTTTGCACACTCCTCTTTGCTAGTCAGTTCCAAGGGGGAAAAACTGAAACACATCTTCACACTGTCTTACAGCTGCACAATGACACCCCTCAAGAATTATGAAAGGCATTTGAGACATATACAAACGCAAGCAAAGCAGTTTGGGTTGTTATGATCACTAGAAAAAATTATATATTTTTGGATGTCATAATATAAATGAAAATGTACATCTTTCTTAGGATAATAGCTAAAAATTACATATTTTTGAGTTGCCTAATCTATGTAGACATCTAGATATTTGTTAGGACTTTATATAGGAAGCACTGAATGCTAAATCCCATGGTGAATCTTTTGCTGAAAAGGCTCTCTTTTATTTGTAGGTAATGAATGGAATGTTCAAACACTTGATGAAGAACAAGACAGTAATAAAAATGCAGTAATGATTACTCTTTTCTTTGACACACTGATGTACTATGTGCGGAGATTTTAAAAAAAGATATGGAGAAGCTGGAAAAACTGAATACTGGATTTCCATTGACAATATGAAATGGTATGGGCCAGCACCAGCCACAACATCACAGGGGTCTGCTAGTCATATAGCTTGGTTCTGAGATGTGCTAAGCTGATGCAGAATGGAGCAAGTTGCTTGCTTACCATTGGCTTTAGATTCTGCAGGGACAGTTGTAGTTCCAATCTCAGCTACCAGCTTCTTACGTACTTCGTTCCTTTTGTGCTTCTTGCCAACATAGTGTTGATGGGCCATAAGTGGGTTGTTGAAAGGTGCTGAGCAAAGTCTGCAATATTTTTCTGGATCCTCTATATCCAGAGCAGTAGTAACACATGATAAAGGTGGGTTTTCAGCATCAGTGTCTTGTGAAGGTTTGTCAGCACACACTTCTGGATGAGCTGGATTCACAGAGGGGCCTGATGGAAAGGGATAAGAGGAAAGTTATGTCTCCTCACTGAAGTAAACAAGGAAAAAAAGGACAAGATCATTAAGAAGGAATACAATTCCTGTAGCTTTCTGCTAATGAGAAAGACACTCTACATCATTCAGAACCCAACCAGTTTGCCTGACTTCAGATACTAAAGAGGAGTGGTTTTCATTAGTACTTGGGTGGAAGATGATCACCTAATACCACAGATCTCCCAATAAGGCCAGAAAAGAATTCTTCTTGAACACCGCGAGAGGTATTGCCAACCCTAGTTGACAGTACTGAGTTAGAAGCACAAAGAGTTAGAACTAGTTTAGAGCAGCATTCCAGTTTCCTAAGAATCCCCCGAAATGAAATACTATCCTTCAGTATCTAAGAGAGTCAACCACATTGACAAATAATACAAAAAGCACTCTGGGATTGGAAAGGTTTGATTCACATTATTTTCCATTGACTACATGATGTAAAAATCTATGAGAATCAGTTCAGACCTTTCCCCCCAATCTACAGTTTTCCCCCCTCTGCCACTAGGGCTTCTACTTTTTTTTGGTGAATGCATTCACAATTATTCAGATGGTGTGACTGCCTGAGCCAATTTGGAAGGCTTTGTAATCATTCTATCTAAAATCATTCCAGCTGGCTACGGCAGCAGTGGAAGAGCCAAAGCAGCGGGTAACTGGCTACCTTTTGAATCCTTCCCTTACCACACCTGGTGTTGAGTTCTGCTTGTTTCCCTCTCCTTCTCCCCTTCTGTTTTTTCCTTTTAAAGACTTGCTGTCCTAACACTAGGACAGTTAGGTGACAAGAGAGAGAGAGAAAATCAATAAATCAGAGGAAAGAATTGAGGTAGTTTTCAATAAGCCTTGTTTGCAGCTTGTTAAGTTAGCTCTGCTCTGGTTGTCCAGATTTGCAGAAGGCATGGCTACAGCAGAGCTAACTTAGCAAGCTGTAAACAAGCCTGCTTGATAACTTCCTCCTCTCTGCTGACTCCTCACTCTTTTTTCCCTTTTGGTCATCTAGTGGCCCTAAGGCTAGGTAATGGCAAGAGAAATACAAAGAGAGCAACTTGTTTCATTCATTTCTAATTAAAATGATCCCATGTTATACCACTTTGCTCTGACAAATCTGTCAAATTGAGAATATCACACCCTTCCCCGTCCCAAACTAGTTCTTCACCTGGTTCTGACTGAGAGCTCTGGGTGGGATGCTGAGAGTGATCTGATAGTAGTTTCAACTTCTTCATGTGGATTTTTCCCAGGTAGTGTGACTGAGCCACAACTGGAGATGTGAAGATCATGTTGCAAAGTTTGCAGTAGGTGTTTTTATCCACATTAGGGTCCAACTGAATTCAAAGAGTAAAAAAATGTGATTGGTTAGTGCTTACAAGGCACTAATGTTCATTTTCTTAGTGGAAAAAAGAATGGATTGGGTTGGATGGGTAAAGAAATAAAAGGTAACAAAATCAGCATGTATGGTAAAAAATTCTAATTGTTCCCAAGCTAAAATGTATGCTCCAGATCTGAAGCGGTGACCATAGTTTTAATCGTCACCTAACCTTGTTTGTTTGCAAACTTACAAACAAAGTGTTTTCTTAAGAGTGGATACTCAGAAAGAGAAAGCCAACTGGAGGATGCAGCCAATGGCAGACACAGCCAGAGGCAAATGTGGGCAGTTTGCTGCACTATGTAGTTCATTCTCTCACTGTGCCACCTGCCTCACTTTACCTCTTGGCAGTTTACAGAGTGGTGTGCTTGTGTGTGTCTGTAAGAGAGGGCCCACAGCATCTGGCTAGCCAGATGATGCCAAGGGCAACAGGGTCTCCCTCTGAGACATAAAACTATGACAAACGTTATGGATAGGGTAACAGTACCTGTACATGCCCCTGCTTGCCAGGCTCCAGTCCCTCCTTCTGTTCACTATGTATTTGTAAATAAAGTCGTACTTTCTGCGCATGTTTTTTGCCCTGGAAAACAGAAATATTTATTTTATATCGGGACACAACTTGAACTTCCTTTTGAAATACAATGATTAAGAGCTGTAGTTTACCAACAGAAAGAACGGATATCAACTGCTGAGTTATGAAGAAAAACACCTGATATAAAAAGACCAATTCTTAGCTGGCTATGGCAAAACGTACCTTCATTACATCTAGACTGGACTACTACACTAAATGGAGCTACCCTAAAGAGTCCCTAGAAATGTGAATGAATCTACAATGAAGCTTTGAGGATGTGTACTTGGTTATTGGAGCGAAGTGAACTGGTTTTACAGTCGTTCTGCTTACATTCATTTCCCGATACAATTTAACTCACTGTGCATAAAATCCTACTGGGATTTTACATCACTACAAGAAAAATTACTTAATATGTGGGATCAGTATATAAGGAATTAGCTTCATGAGCTCTCATGATTTCTGTGACTTTGCCCATGTAAAAATCCCTACAGGATTTTGCCCTTGCTGGTTACCTTTGAAGCCTTTGTTTCCATAGGTCCAAGGTCCAAGATACTAGGAGGCTCTTGCCTTTCATACCAGCTTCTGTAGTTACAGGATCTTCTGGGATGTTTTTCTTCACTATCCAATGGGTGTTAAAGCATTGTTGGCTGAGACACAGGAGGTGGTCTTCTCTGCAGCTGTGCTTAAACTGTGGAATTCCTTGGGGCACATGGACCATTTCTTTCTTTTGTTTCTACTACCAGGCTGTGATTGTTCTATTTTTGTAAATATGGGACTAGCTGAATGGAAGCCTGCTTTGCAGCTAACTGTTGCTTTAAGATTGAATTCCCCTGTTGTTGTTGTTTTTGATTCTATGAATTGCTGCTCCTTCTTTTTTAAAAAATTCTTGCAAGGCACCCTGACCATGCGAGTAAAGCAGGTAAAGGTAAAGGTAAAGTTTCCCCTTGACAATTTTTGTCCAGTCGTGTTCGACTCTGGGGGGCGGTGCTCATCCCCGTTTCCAAGCCATAGAGCCAGCGTTTTGTCCGAAAACAATCTTCCGTGGTCACTTGGCCAGTGCGACTTAGACACGGAACACTGTTACCTTTCCACCGAGGTGGTCCCTATTTATCTACTTGCATTTGTATGCTTTCGAACCGCTAGGTTGGCGGGAGCTGGGACAAGAGATGGGCGCTCACTCCGTCGCGTGGATTCGATCTTATGACTGCTTGGTCTTCTGACCCTGCAGCACAGGCTTCTGCGGTTTAGCCCACAGCGCCACCACTTCCCTTGAGTAAAGTAGAAAGATGCAATATTATGATTTCAAATAAATAATTGTAATTATTAGAGTGCTGAATAGATCCAGCCTCTAGACTCAATAAGCCATGAAACCTACTAGGTGGCCTGGAGCCAATCAATTCTTTCTTAGCCTGATCTACTTAGAGGAGTGTTGTTCTGAAGATAAAGTGGGGAGGAGGAGAGCCATGTAATCTGCTTTGATTGACTAACTGCTAATCTATCAATGAATCTGAAATGAAAACAAAAAACAATCCCATACTTGCCACAGAACATAGAAAGGCTGTAATTTTTTCATTAGCATTAGTTAAAATGGATACTAGCAAAGGAGGGGCTGTTCCAGAGCAGGTAGACAAGGAAAGCACCCAACAAAGTGGTCTGATTTTCATGCCTTTACTGAGCTGATGCCACTGGACACAGCAATGTGATTACAAATTAAACAAGAAACAGCTCTGACTTGTGTTGGTGTGTTCACATTTCAAGAAGTCATCCAACACTAAAATGTGTTCAGGATTATGAGAAGTAACTCTTATTCTCTAACGCACAACAGCATGAAAAGAAAATGATGTTTTGATACAATTACCCATCACTAGGCCTGCTTAACAAACAAGTACTGTAATGTGAGTTGTTCAATAGGCACTGATAGTTAGGGTAAGTTTGTGACTGTGGACACTCTTACCAGTTAAGGCTGAGACAGTGTATGCTTGCAGCAAGATTTGGAATATAGCCAGGAGAGATAAAAGTCTGGGGTTATGAAATTGCCTCCCTCCACCCACCCCAACAAAAACAGGCTATTACAAAAATTAGCACTATCTGCCTTTTCAAGTGTACTTATTTGTAAACAAATAGTTCTGTTGTAAACAGACATGCTGTAAATCTTTCTTGTTGCTTGATCCAAAGGAAATTCAGCCTGCATGGACAACCTTTGGAAGTTTTTTGCCTGTGGAACAGAAGGCCATCAACTATTACTGACTTCTTCTGTCTCAAGACTTACCTCATAGTGTGCTATTCTTTGCGATTCAAATTGCAGCACAGCCCCACAAACTTTACAGAAAGTGTCTGTGCAAAGTTCTTTTCTTGTTGCGTCATCCAAAGTATCATCTAGAGTGAATGGTTGAGGATATACAGTCAATATCCAGAACACAGCCATTTATTTATTAAAGTCTTAATGGAAAATTTATATGTGAGATGACACACTGGGTGGAATAGCTAATATCATGGAAGACAAACAAAATTCAAAAAAGATCTTGGTAGGTTCAAGCACCAGGCTGAAAACAACAGAATGAAATTTAACAGGGATACGTGTGAAGTTCTACACTGCAGGGGGGAGCTATGCAAAGTTACAAGATGGGGGATACTTGGCTCAAGAATACTATGAGAGAGAAGGATCTCTGAATTGTAGATCACAAGCTGAATCTGAGCGAACAGTGTGATGTGGCCACAAAAAAGGCAAATGCTATTTCAGGCTGCATTAACAGAAGTATAGTCTCCAAATCTAATTCCCTTCTATTTGGCACTGGTTAGATCTCATTTTGAGTACTATGTCCACTGTAATAATGATGCCAATAAAGTTCAGAGGAAGGTAGGAAAGATGACGAGGGGATTGGAAATGAAGCCCTATGAGGAATACTGAAAGAACTAGGCAAGTTTAGCCTTGAGAAAAGAAGGTTGAGGGGAGATGTGATAGCACTTTCCAGATACTTGAAAGATTGCCATACAGAGGAAAGACAGAATCTGTTCTCAATCATCCCAGAGTGTAGGACATGTAATAATGGGCTTAAGTTACAAGAAGCCAGATTTTGGTTGAACATCAGAAAAAAACTTCTTAACTGTTAGGGAAATAAAGCAATGGAAGCAATTACTTTGGGAGGTTGCTATAACACTGGAGGCAATAAGAGAAAATTCAACAACCATATGTCAGATATACTTTGATTTGGAATCCTGTATTAACCCGTGGATTGGATTCGATGGCCTTATAAAGCCCCTTCCAACTCAATTATTTTATGATTCTATTAGAGAGAAGTAAAATTTGACCACAAGGGCAAGTATCTGACCCACCCATTCACTCCTGATACACATCCTGGCTTTTTAACTAGAAAAAACGTTGCTGATGGTTTTAGCCATGGTTTCATTCCAGTAAGACAAAAAGAAGCCATGCTATGGCAGTTGTATGTATTCTAACTTTTGGTTCTCTTAGATCATCCATTGCAACATAGCTATATACCTCATTTAGAAGGAACACAGTAGCTGGGATATTCCAATTACAGCAGCAATATTAAAACTGCTAGTGAAAGGGGCTTGAAAACAGAATGGGACTATGTACTCATGGCAAGAGGAAAAATTATGTCATGTCACAATTCAGTCATATCACAAATTAAGGAAAATGCATATTTCCTGCTACAATAATGTTTCCTTCAGTTATGCAACTCCTTTAAAGTTATATGCCTGAGCAATCAGATTTACAAGTGAAACCTTTGCTCACTTAACCAGTAATAAACCACAAGTAGGTTGACTTGTAATATGTGGAAGTGAAGAAACTTATGTTTAGACAAACAGATGCCTTTTGCCTCTTAAAGGGAGGCTCCACTTCTAATGAAGTGTCAACTGTACTATTTAATTTTATGCTGAACCTCACTGCTTTGCCATGTAGCTAGGAAAATATACATTTAGGGAGTGCAGTGCCCAAAACTCTCCCAACTGGGATAGCCTCTAAAAGATAAATCACAAACCACATCAAGCTAAACTGCAACGTGTAGCTTTAAACTAAGGGATATTTGCTTCTAATGATGTGCAAAATCTACTGCAGCAAGTTTAGCCTTGAGAAACTTCTTTTCTCAAGGCTAAACTAATGATGTGCAGCATCATACTGCACCCTATGTTATAAAATACTCACATTTTGTCATGCTGAATTACCGAATTAATGGCTCTTGGGCTTTGTGTACAAAGTTCAAAAATGGTCATATTTCTTGTTTCTCTAAGAACATAGCATCTGAACAGGTCCTGAAAGTTTCTCCCACAAACTCTTTGAAATTCTCAAGTTCTGGGTCCATCAGCAGCTTTTTCTGTCCTTAGACTTTAATGAGAAGAGCACAGGACGTGCCATCTATTGCCAAACTGCCTAGGATGGTGTGGGGAATCAAGACTGCTACATACATACAGTACTAGTATATCAATTATATTGTATCACTATTCTAAATGAAGATACAGTAGTCTGAAAGATATTCTTAGTCAGACAATTAGACAACAGAAGTGTCACTTTATCTTCCAAGCATACACTTACAAATTTAACTAGTGGGATGAGTATCTCGGGTCAATACTGTATTGGGACAAATGAAAGTAGCAAACTTACATCTGTGTAAAATGGAAGTATTATGCCTTGGGAAATGCAGTAACCTGGAAAATTGGGGCTGACAATGATGTGTGTGTGTATGTCACACCCCTGAAGAAACAGTCTGAAAGAGCCCCTGATTCGGTGCTCAGGCATAGGTGGAATGTTCTTTAACCAAGCATAGATTGATGGAGGAGCCTTAGTGACAGCAACTGAAGGCAATGACACATGAATTGTGTACATCTAAATCAGGGGGAACAGCATTGACCATTTACCTCACAATCTGCATTAGATTAGGCAAAGATGAATTTGAACTAAAAACCAGTGACTGCACAATGTAAATCGTGGCACACGGAAGCCTGCTGTCTTTTTTTTTTGTTCAGGTGGCAAGAGTGGCTTTATTTTGCTTTAATTGGATTGACACTGTGTTTGTGCATTTTCTGTCCAATGCTACTACCTGATCTCACACAAAGGGGCACACCCCCTCAATTGCGTGCTCCTTATCTCCAGTCAGTTTTTTTTAAAAAATCTTTCAAATCAGTGCTGGAACAGAGTACTGCTAGGGCACTCATGAAAACTAAATTAAGAGAGAGAGAG